TGCAATTTGGCAATTCTAATCTCACCGGCTCAAGGTTGACTCAGCCTTCCATCCTTCCGAGGTGGGTGAAATGAGGACCTGGACTGTGGGGGCGATATGCTGACTCTGTAAACCGCTTAGAGAGGGCTGAAAGCCCTATGAAGCGGTATATAAGTCTAACTGCTATTGCTATTTGAGTGTTTAAGGTTGCCAAACCATGGGCTAGGGAATTCTGGGAATTGAAGTCCTTTACTATCTTAAAAGTTGCCGAGGCCAAGAATGACTGGTCTACGCAATTCTAGCGAGGGCCACAGCCTCCGAACTCTCATCCCAAACCACGCGTCCTCCTCACCTGCTCATCCAACGTCTCTGGTACCCATTCCTTCTGCCGGAAGCCCTCAGCCAGAGCCACTGCCTGGGCACAGGTTTGGGGGCAACCCTCCACCACCCAGCTCTGGAGGTCGGAGGGCAGGATGGCCAGGAACTGCTCCAGGATCAGCAGCTCCAGGATCTGCTCCTTGGTGTGCCTCTCCGGCTTCAGCCACCGGCAGCAGAGGAACCAGAGGCGGCTGCAAGCCTCCCGGGGACCCGCGGCCTCCCGGTAGAGGAACTGGCGGAAGTGCTGGCGCTGGATCTCCGAAACGACCGTGTCCGCCTCTGGAAGCTCTTCTTTCGGCGGCTCGGAGGGTTTCGGGTTTCCGTGGGGCTCTTGGGATTCCCCACTGAGACCAGGCTGGGTTTGGGTCTCCCGTTCTACTGTGAACTGGGTGCCTTCGGCCTTCACCTTGACGGAGGCTGGAAGTGTGGCAGAAGTATTGTGGAGGGAGGAGCTCAGTTCTTGTAGGCTTGAGCAGCTGAGTCCGGGAGCCTCCACTGTCTTAAGAAAGTCTTTCCACCGGCTCTCCTCAGAGTTGGGAACGCCCAGGCCCAACTCTTTACCGAAGTCTCTCGGGGAGCTCATCAGAAAAGCCCTGGTACCTCCAGCGGGGAAGCCTCCAGTACGTTCACTGCTCTTCACTCCTGCTCCGGCATCTGTGGTCTCCTCCCAGGTGTCCTCCCATCCCACCATCTCCTCCTCAGCTGGCACATCTGTCTCCCCTTCTTCCTGCTCCTCCACGCCTTCATCCAAGGTCACCTCTGGCTTTGGTCTGGCATGGATTGCGGGGGCCAAATCCAACAGGGCTCCCTCTTCCATCGCCATTCGGCACCAAGGTTAATGGCCAACCGTCAGCCTTGCCTTCCAAAGCATCCCAGTGCGCCCTTCGAGATTACAGGATATTTGCAAGGTGACCAGTAATTAGAGATAGGGGCATTAGTAGCCCACTGCCAAGGAACTTCTTTCTAAAAAGGGGGAAGAGTGGGAGAGAATAGAAATTAAAACGAGAAGAAAATGACAGGTAGTTCTCGACTTAAGACCACAACGGAGCCCCAACGTTTTCTGTTGCTAAGTATTGTTAAGTGAGCTGTGCCCCGTTTTACAACCTTGCTTACCATGTTGGAGTGAATCACCACAGTTGTGAAATGATTCCCCATCGTCTTTGCTGGTCAGAAGGTGGCAAAAAGGGGACTGCATGACCACGGGACACGGCAACCGTCATAAATGCAAGTCAGTTGTCAAACATCCAAATGTAAATCATGTGACCACAGTGATGCTGCAATGGTCGTTAAATGTGAAAAACGGCCACAACTCACTTTTCACACTGCCGTTGTAACTTCAAACGATNGCGCTTTCGTCGAGCGCGATTTTGTCCTCCGCGATTTTGTGGTGGAACCACCTCAGGAGGATGGAAGGCTGAGTCAACCTTGAGCCTGGTGAGATTTGAACTGCCAAACTGCAGCTAGCAGTCAGCTGAAGTAGCCTGCAGTACTGCACTCTAACCACTGTGCCACCTCGGCTCTAAAAGAATTCCATTTTGTCCAAAAGTTCCAAACACAATTTTTATTCAGATTCTTCAAAGTGAATGTTTTTTGGGAAGCAGTCAGAATTGCAGGGAGAATTTATCAAGCATAGAGCTAATCTACAGTCACTGTGTAACCATAAAAGAGCCAGAACTGGCCCTTCCTGAATTCTATGGAGTCTTATCTAATTGTTCCCAAGGGAAAGCTGCTAGACTGGGGAAATTCCTGTATTACAGGCAGAACATAATAAAGTGGTTAACTCGAATTCTGCACATGTGGGCCTGGTATTCGCACCTGACAATGTCTTAGGAAAAGATATAGAGTTTCCCATCCCAACAAGGTTCTTTAAAGATGCCTTGTACTAAAACTTCTACAATTCTTAGCTAGATGACTGAGAATTATGGGAATTGCAGTACAACAGTGGACATTTGCCCTGGGGGAGCTGATGCAGAGTCATGGCTTTTGTAGATATCAAATCAGTTTAAAAGGAGAAGATGTTCATCCCAACTACAGAATTTGGTGGACAGCAACACTGCAGAGCAGTTCTAACATGCAAGTTAATCAACTGAAGTGTCTTCGTATAAGAATGCCCAAATAAATTAGCAAAATAATTCTTTTTCATCATTCTTCCACATAAATAGATGATTTCTAAGTTTTGCCATCCATACATTCATACAGCCAAGCCAAGTTAATTCAGATGCCTTTTGTTTCCCAGGCTACAAAAAGATCTGGATTTGAAGACAAATGTATAATTAGCCAAATAACATTTATAGGCAGTAATGCAATAAAATAGAACATAGAACTTGTTCATATGACAAACTACAACAGGAGGTAGTTAAGCAAGTTTTAAATAGCAGTAGACTTATATACCGCTTCATAGGCCTTTCAGGCCTCTCTAAGCGGTTTACAGAGAGTCAGCATATTGCCCCCAACAATCTG